TTCTTGTGTAGATTAAATCCACAATCAAGAGAAAAGTATACAGAAGTGGGTAATGGATCCTGACACCCAAAGCAGTGACCAAGATTTTCAAGTTGTTCACCATCATTCTTGGTGGATCCATCTTCATAAGCAACATGTTCAAGCTCTTTAAAATTATTTTGAGCAATGTTATATGTAGATAAAGCACATTTAATGTGAAAATCCAGATCACAAGAGCAATGATAAACGAACCTGTCCCCCTTTTGGTCACAGAAATTGCATATCCATCCCTTACTACCGTAAGGAGAATCTGGAAGCAGAACAAGAGGATGGGTGGGATGGAAAGGGTGATTAATCTCCAAGGGAGCATCCGCACATAGCTTGTGGAGATAAAACCCACTACACTCCGCGCACCTGAAACGTGGAGCTGATGGCAACACCTTCTCCCCACACCTAACGCAGCATGCTTCTTCTTCTTCTTCTTCTGCACTTTGATTGCTCTGCATCTGCTCATTCAACAATATCAGGGGATGCTCATGACCAAAATTTTCCATCTCTCCTTTGTATTCCTTTTTCTCTGGTCGTCTCAAACTCAATTCCAGGAGAGATTTGATTTGAATGTTGCAAAGTCAAGAACAAATTGGAACCTAATCAGATTAGGATTCAAGCAAAGTAAACGTCAACGCTCATGTTCATCTTCTCTTCTTATGACTGCACACTATTAAAATCACATATTAATATAATAATTAATATGGCTTAATACCCAAATTAGTCCTTTAACTATCCATTTTGGGACAAATTGGCCCCTTAACTTTTTTGGGGGACAAATTGACCCCTTAACTTTAAAAACGAGACAAATTAACCCTTTTTTGACGGAGCGTTTAATGTCCGGAAGGTGAGGGCGCGTCTGAATTCCGATTAAGGTGATTCTTGCTGCATTTGAAAGATCTCGACAAGAAGAATCAGATGGTTAGGGAGGTGAGAAAAAAATAAACAATCGAGAACTTTCGGATCTCGGGTTAAATTTAAAAGTTTGACTAGAAGGTGCGGTGTTATTCGATGTTGGAACGGGTTGAATTTCCGATATGTCACTATTTGAAGGATGCTAGATCTACTGATAGTGGAGGTGAGAAAAAATAACAAAGAAAATGAGGCGAATAAGACCGACATCCCTTAGAGAGTGACATATCATAAATTTAGGCCGATTCGATGCCATTAGACTGACATTGCTTATTTTCTTTATTATTGTTTCTCACCTTCGCAACGACTAGATTTGACATCTCTCAGAGAGTGACATATTAGAAATTCAGTCAGTTCCGACTCCGAATAAGACCGCACTTTCCAGTCAAAGTTTTAAATTTGACCCGAGATCTGAAACTTTTCGATTGCTTAGTTTTCTCACCTCCCTGACCATCATATTCTTCTCGTCGAGATCTTTCAAGCACCCCTAGAATCGCATTAATCAGAAGTCAAACGCACCCTCACCTTCCGGATGTTAAACGCTCCGTCAGAAAAGGGCTAATTTGTCTCGTTTTTAAAAGTTAAGGGGTCAATATGTCCCAAAAAAAAAAGTTAATGGGTCAATTTTTCTCAGAATGGATAGTTAAGGAACTAATTTGGGTATTTAACAATAGAAAAGAAATCCAATTGGATCAGGGTTAATAGTTAATACTGATAATTAGAAACGACAAAGCTACCTCTACCTGCCCCGCCAACTTTCTGTGGATCACTTCAAAAGCAACCATAATGTTTCATTGCAGATATTAGGTGGAGCTAAGGGAATCTCTTAATTTGTTTTTGTATAAAAAGATTAAGGGAAACAGTAAATTTCAATAAATTAGTAATATGAATAAACAGTTACGGTTCACACAGCTTAATTGCCAGTGAATGACAATGTACAAGGAGCATGTCTCTTGTTAGGGACTACACAAAAGATGTCCCATTAACAACCATGTGATACTCTATTTTCATACAAATCTATCTATGAGCAATTTAAATAGTTTCAAGATACATATAAAAGACAGATGCATTCTATAGAAAGATGAGAAGTTGAGAACAGAAATTCATTTATTTATACAACTGCAAGCTGGCTTAAGAATTCCTGGTTCCAACAATGACTATGACTATGAGTTATTCCCCTGTTCGAGAAGGCTCTGATCAATGGTGTAACGGCAGCCCCAAGCCCTCTCCTTCCGTTTTGTTCCACTTCTACAGAATTCAATCCCTTGGTCTCTGGCACAAACACAAAGACAAAAAAAACTGCAAGCACAGAATACTAGTACATATTCTATGGAATAAAGATGTGTTGTAGTTTCCAATATTAAGTTCTTGATTCATTCATGATTTAAGAAGCCACCAAACCTGCAAAGTGTTTGCGAGGTGGATAAAGAAGGAATCAACGAATTATGAGGGCAAGTGAAACGAAATTAATAGGAGACAATTACTAGATCATCAATTGTGTAGTTAGTGAAGAAGATAAGTATGTATTGGCTAGAGGCAGTGGACATCTCTTACCTTTCAATTCACAACAACACTACCCCTCATCAAAATAGAATGTGAAATAAACAAAAGGAAATGCTGACTTCTGCATATATGGGATTGAGAGTGCTCCTCTTTCTTGTAACATCAGGATTACTGCCTTTGATTCTGCAACAACAAAGAAAGCAACCCCCCAAATTAGGCACTTCTATCACACACAAGTAAATAAAAATGAAAATAATGAGAAGATTAGGTTCAGAAATAGATGAAACTCACAAGTTTAATATACCTAACCATCTACTATGCATATTACAAGCCTCCGAAACCTCAAAAATCTCAGAACTGCATGGAATAACAGGTGGATAACAAGATCAGAAGTGATTCTTGACAAATTAACATGGCAAGATAAAACAAAATTTCATAAAAGACAATAGCTAGATCATCAGCATTTAGTTAAGAAGACATAAATCTAGTAACTTTCATAGGATTTACATTCTCTAAGAACTAATGGTTTTTGGTTGATTACCTTATTCAAAGCCTCCAAGGAGACCAATTTATGTAGTAACCAAATTAAACAACCAAAGTGGTGGAAGCAGCAAAAATAATCTTCTCAACTATTATGTTTTCGCCAAAATACTTCATCGCATTGTCAGGTATGTTGAAAGAGCCATAGCATCTAACTTTCAAAGTTGTCAATCTAACAAAGGGAGATGATTGATCTTCTATTACCTCAGGATACTCCATGAGACCCTATATTAGTATTAGTTATGAGTTGTGAGTGGCATGCCCATTCCACTAATAAAACAATACATAATAGGGTCAAGAGAAAAATGGAAAATGAAAATATACCTTTATGAAGGTAGAAGGACGCACCAAAGAGTCTGCACTGTTATGCTTTCGCCAAAGTACTTCATCACATTGTCAGATATCTTGCAAGTGCTCCTATTCCAATCGAAATATGATTTAGTAAGATTGAGAATAATTGCAATGAAAAAAAGCCATACGCTTTGGCATATTTAATCAGTATAGGTCATAGTCATATACATACAACCAATCAAGCAAAAAGCTTGGTGATTTTGAGACATTGGAAACAATTTGAATAGATTTGCTTCACAATAATCACTCTCATTTATTCTAAGTTTTGTCATTTGAAAAGGAAAATTTCAGGTTGAATGCAGAAGCTTCTCAAATTTTTGTTCGAGTGTTCAAGTCGGGGAAACATTTTGAACCGGGATTGAAGTTCAATCCTGAATTTTTAAGTTACTTGAATATGGATGCTTATCATATATACTTCACTGAAAGCTTATCCACCATTTCGATTTCCATTTCATTTCTTGATTGCCAATTTGCAGCCCAAAAAGATTATACTATTCACAAATGAACATGGCTATGGCAGTTGTAAACTTTTTCTTTTGTTACATTCAATTCACCATGATCATCACTTTCTCAAACAATTGCATTTGAGACGTTTCAAGATATTTTGTTCATTGGGTAAGTGAAGAAAACAAAAGGAAATGCTAACTTCTTCATATATGGGATTACGAGTATAAACTTTTGAACTTAGTAATCATATAATATCCACAGGTTCACCAGGCTTCTGAAAGGATCCTGAAAGGCATGGTCATTAAAGAGTTGAGCTTCATCTATCTGAACCAGGAGGTACGTACTAGGATATAATTTATGCATCAATTGCAACTAGCAATCTAGATTAAAGCTCACTACCTCTTGGCAAAAGTTTTTGGTGAGAAATATTCAACAATAAATAAGAAACTTGCAGCACAAAAGACCAACAAACTGGTGAAAATTAGAGGAAGAGAACAATGAATGTAACTTTAAACCAATTCAAACCATAGAGATGATCACAATGTAATTTCTAAGACAAAAGTTAAGCATGAATTCAACTCACATCAAGGATTCTGATTGAAATGGAGTGTAAATAGCCCCAATGCCAAAACAATCACCATTATCAGCCATAGTGATTGCAACGAAAAAAAAATCAGATATTTAAATGAAAACAGATATTTAACTCTGTTTTTATAAGTAAGATTGTCTGCTTACCATATATTGATACCCAATTTGCTGCAGCCAGAGAGATTACACTATTCACAAAATGAACTCCAGTTGAGAAATTGGGTCTCGACTCTGGAGTGTCAAAAATATATTCCGTCTATGGAATATATAAATGCATTATCATATATTGATACTATATTAAGTTGTTGATTCATTCATGACTTAAGAAGCCACCCAAAAACCTACACAAGACTTGAGAGGTGGATAAAAAATCCAGATGAATTATGAGGGCAAGTGAAACAAAATTAATAGGAGACAATTGCTAGATCATCAATCTTGTAGTTGGTAAAGAAGACATATATGTACTGCCTTTCTCTAACCTTTCAATTCACAACAACATTTAGAATGTCAAGAAAACAAAAAAGCAAAGCTAACTTCTGCATATATGGAACCCTTTGCAATTTGGCATTAAGTACATAGTAATAGGAGACTATAGCAAAGATCATCAATTTTATAGTTAGAGGCATATCAATATGCTAACTTCAATTCAAAATAACATTACTGCTCATGAAAATAGAATGTCAAGAAAACAAAAGGCAATGCTAAATTCTGCATATATGGAACCTCACCGACCTTCTACCGCCCCCCTCGCGAGATCCCCAATTCACCCAGATCTCGCTCAGCTTCTATGTAAATTTCAGACAGTCTTTGATACGCCAAAAGGGCTTCCTCCCCAACGATTTCATGACCACCATATCCACTTGCAGCCTGGCACCGGTCCTATTAATGTGAGGCCTTATCGTTACCCTCATTCTCAAAAGAGTGACATGGCCACAATTATCTCAGAGATGCTTCACGAGGGTATCATACGACCTAGCACGAGCCTGTTTTCTTCTCCAGTTCTCCTGGTTAAGAAGAAGGATGGAACGTGGTGCTTTTGTGTGGATTACAGAGCTTTAAATGATGCTACCGTTAAGGATCGATTTCCGATTCCGACAGTGGACGAATTACTTGATGAGCTCCACGGTGCAACAGTGTTTTCTAAAATTGACTTACGTGCTGGGTACCAACAAATTCGTGTCGCTCCAGAAGATATTTACAAGACTGCGTTCAAGACTTCTGATGGCCACTACGAGTTTTTGGTGATGCCGTTTGGCCTCACGAATGCCCTATCCACCTTCCAATCAGCCATGAATGATTTATTCAGGTCTCATCTTCGACGCTCTGTACTCGTTTTTTTTGACGATATTTTGGTTTACAATCCATCATGGGAAGCCCACCTTGATCACCTCTCTGTGGTTTTGGACTTGCTGCAAACCAATCAGTTTTATGCTAAAGAATCTAAGTGCACTTTTGGTCGCTCCTCCATAGATTATCTTGGGCATATTATTACTGGAGAAGGAGTCAAAGTCGATCATTCCAAAATTGAGGCTATTGTCGATTGGCCAACTCCAAGCAACCTCAAAGCCTTGCGTGGCTTCCTCGGTCTAACCGGATACTACCGCAAATTTGTAAAAGGGTATGCTGCAATCGCTGCTCCTCTTACTAATTTATTGCGCAAGGACCAATTTCTATGGGATTCAACTACAAGTAAAACTTTTCAAGATTTAAAGCTTGCTTTAACTTCTACCCCTGTGCTGCGGTTACCTGATTTTGCCTCGCCTTTCTGCATCGAGGCAGATGCTTCTAATATAGCTGTTGGTGCTGTGTTATCCCAAGGAGGTCATCCCATTGCTTATTTTAGCAAGAAACTATCTCCCCAAATGCAATTTGCTTCTGCATACGTGCGAGAGATGTATGCCATAACTGAGGCAGTACACAAGTGGCGCCAGTATCTATTGGGGCGTTCATTTACCATATTCACAGATCAACAAAGCTTGAGGAACTTAATGACTCAAACCATCCAAACTCCTGAGCAACAAAAGTGGTTGGCTAAGTTGTTGGGGTTCAATTATTCGATCGTTTACAAGCCAGGGAGACATAATTTAGCTGCTAATGCATTGTCGAGGTGCCCTGAACCTGCGGCTCAATATTTGGCTACATCGAGTCCTGTTTTCTCCTTTCTTGACTCCTTGCGCCACTATTATGCCACTTCTGAAACAGGACAGCAGCTTTTGAATCAAGGCCAACAAGACTCAAATATGGGGTATTCTATATCGGATGGTTTATTGTTTTATCAAGGAAAGATTGTGATTCCAGAGGGCCATGAGTTGCAATCACAGTTGCTGCATGAATACCATGGAACTCCAACAGGTGGTCATGCAGGTATCTCTAAGACATATTCTCGGCTTGCTGCAATTTTTTTCTGGCCACAAATGCGAAAATCAGTCCACACTTTTGTGCAATCTTGCCAAATATGTCAACAGGTTAAGTATGAAACCACTAAACCAGGGGGGTTACTTTCACCATTGCCTATACCTTCGATGGTGTGGTAGGATATTTCGATGGATTTCATTACAAGTCTTCCTCCCTCCAATGGTAAAACAACTATTTGGGTCATTGTCGACCGATTGTCGAAATACGCTCACTTCATAGCTCTTCCAAGCTCTGTGACAGCTGCCTCACTAGCTGAGCTCTTCTCTAAAGAAATCTGTAAACTCCATGGGGTTCCTCGCTCGATTGTCAGTGATAGGGATTCACTATTCTTGAGCCAATTCTGGAAGGAACTCTTCAAACTTCAGGACACCTCTCTCAAAATGAGTACTGCATACCATCCACAAACAGATGGACAGACTGAGGTACTTAACCGCTGCTTAGAGACTTATTTGCGCTGCTTTGCCAGTGACAAACCCCGCTTGTGGTCCAAGTTTTTACATTGGGCGGAATGGTCTTATAACACTGCCACTCATTCAGCCACAGGTTTTTCTCCTTTTGAAGTGGTATACGGCAGACCCCCACCAACTATAGCTTCTTATGTCATTGGCCAAACTAAAATTGCAGCACTTGAGGACTCCCTTCTTGAGCGACAGAATATTCTTAATGAGCTCAAAACTAACCTTGCTCATGCTCAGAACAGGATGAAGATGCAAGCTGACCGCAAGCACTCGGAAAAGAGTTTTTCTGAAGGGGATTGGGTGTTCTTGAAATTACAGCCCTATCGGCAATAGTCCCTAGCTCAGCGTAGCTCTCATAAATTGGCAAAAAGGTTCTTTGGACCCTTCCAGGTCGTGCGTCGCATCGGCTCAGTTGCTTATGAGTTAAAGCTCCCAGAGTCAGCCAAAATACACCCTATATTTCATGTGTCCCTGCTCAAGCGTTGTTATGGTTCTCCAACGGACAGCTTTACTCCCATCCCTGCCTTGAGTGACGATGAGAAACCCATCTTAGAACCTGCTGAGATCTTGGAGAGACGCAAAGTTTCTAGTGGAGGCATCTTTTCTGACCAGTGCTTAGTCCAATGGAAGGGACTTCCTGTTACTGAAGCCACCTGGGAAAGACTTGAAGACTTGAAAACCTTGTTTCCTACCTTCAACCTTGAGGACAAGGTTGGTCTTGAAGGGCAAAGCAGTGTTACGATTACAAGGCCCAAAAGAGTCAGAAATGCACCCCAGTTAAACAAGTATTATGAAATGAGCCATAAATAATCTATAGTTGTATTTGTTTTGTTTAAAACTGTTCTAGAAACTTTCAGCTAAGCGTATAATCCTAGGCGTAACCGTTTTTGTACTCACTATATGTAAGACAAAGAAGGAATGAAAGGCATCAGAAAATTGTTATCTCAAATATTCTCATCTCTTTCTAATCTTTTTCTCTCCCCATTCTGTTAGTCTGCTTCTCATCCCTTTCTTAGCACTATCAGAACCCTTTGCAATTTGGCATTAAATACATAGTAATAAACTATTGAACTACTCCATATTAAACAAAAGGGCCAGTGCTCTTCTCTTTCTATCTACATCAGGATTACTGCCTTCGATTCTGCAACTACAAAGAAAGCAAGAGCCCCCCAAATTAGGCACTTCAATCACACACATGACATGAGGGAAAAAATTAAAATAAAGACAAGTAAAGGTGAAGAAATAGATGAAACTGACAAGTTTAATATACCTAACCATATGCTATGCATGCTACAAGCCAAAGAAACCACAAAAATAAATCATAACAAGACAAGGAACTCAACTTGATTGAAATTAGATTAGTTATGTAGAAATGACTGAGAATCCAACACACCAACCCCATCATCTGACATCTCCACCTTTACACTTAATTGTATATGACTAGGACTTAAAAACAGCAGTAAGGAAAATTTCACCTATGCTGTATAAGTTGCAAGAAATAAGAGCAGGAAGAACTCACATTTACACTTACAATAACTTACACTGTATAATACCTCTTCAGAATATTGTAATGTCCTCAACTGTTATGTTTTCGCAAAAATACTTGATCACATTGTCAGGTATACGTAAATTGAAAGAGCAATATCTAACTTTCAAAGTTTTCAATCTAAGGAAGGGAGATGATCGATCTTCTAGCACATCAGGACACTCCATGAGACCCTAGATTAGTAGTATTAGTCATGAGAGACATGTCATTAGTTCCACTATATATATAAAGAAAAAAGAAAATATATACAGGGTTGAGAGAAAAAGGAAAATGAAAAAATATATATATATACCTCTATGATGTCGGAGGGAAGCACCAGGGTCTGTGCATTATAAAGTCCGGGGAAAATAATACTGATCAATTTCAAAAGGGATTTTTTCCTCGCATATGGTACAGAAGCACGAATATCAGCAATTTCCAAGAGTGGAAAGTCAAGATGGGAGAATTTCACTGGATGAAAACGACTTTCACAACTAAAAAAACGCAGTTTTGGGGCAACAATCTCAACTTCACATTCACAATGGTAGTTATACCATGATGACATGGTCAAACTATCAAGTTGAGGTCCGCTAATTTTAAAATTTCTAACCCTACCCATAGAACAATAAAGTAGTTGCAAACTCTTGAGATTGAAAAGTCCTACAAAAGGGTCGATTGAAATAAGTTCACCATTACCATTAACCCCGAAGAATCTACACCACCAGAGAGATAGAGTGGTCAAACTGGGAAGGGTGAAATCCTCTAATAGATGTATGCTATTAAAATATCGCAAGTCGAGGGTTTTCAAGGATCCAGAGATATTGAAGAGAGGGGATAAGTATATCAAGGGTGATTTTGCGCCAATACTAAAATGCTGCACATTATGGGACACGGCATAGTTGATTATGGTAGCGATGAATGACTTATCTTTCTCATAGTAATTGCAAGTGAATTTGTTGACAGGGAGATTCTCGCGCTTGTTCAAAACATTGCGCACAAATTTCTTAAACATCGACGTAGAAGCCCATAAGTTGTCAAAGATGAGATCTGGAAGACAAGCCCACAAGTTGTTCCATCTCTTGGATAGAAGAGTGGTTCGGACGCAAAACTTGATATCCGGTAGGAAGGAAAGGATGTGATGGAGAATGCAGTCAGGTAGATCGCTCAATCTATCCTTTGCCACCGCTTCTTCATGTTCATGGTTCTTCTTAGCCTTCTTGCTCTTCACCATTGTTGCCATGCTCAACAAAAGAGGAAAGACGTACGAAAGGAACGAGAGAAACCAGAGGGACCGCCGATCGTAGAGGGGATTTGGGTGAAAAAAATTTTTAAGGTAAAAACCCTTTCTCTGTGCAAAACGGAAAGAACAGAAGAATGGCCGTAAAAGTTTGAAATTGGAGATTGTAAGTTATTGGTGGGTTTAGCCCAATAACACGTTAAAATTTGGGAATTGGAGCCCTCGCGTTGCATTGCATTTGCATCCATAAGATTAAAACATCTTAATTGGACCAAACAAGTCAGTAGGAAAGCTTGATGCCAAAAAAAAAAGAAAAAAAAGTCAGCAGGAAAGCTTTACTAGGACAAAACAGAACAGATAATATTTGATTCGTGTCTCGTGTGGGTTTACATGTAATTGTTTTGTTAGTACCAAAAGGTTAATCAAAATCCATTAGGTGTTGAATCCTAAAAATCCTTTGTTCAATGTGTTGTTGGGACTGAGAGAGCTTTAGCTGAGATAAAAAGCTGTGGAAATACATCAAAGTCATGAGTTTTATACAACCAAACAGATTAGAGTGGATTCAGAATAATGCTCTTTTGGCTAAGCAAGCAAGGAAGATTCTGATAAAACCTCAAGCTATGATGCCACAAATATTACAAGGTACTCAATTGAGTATGGAATCCTTTGTTTCAAACTGTCCTACTGCATCCACTCAAATTTTAGCACAGCGTGTAGTATTTGTCAAGGAAATTATAGACTGGAGGACATATAGATAAATGGAAAGAAGCTTTTACCGATATCTGCTTTGCTATGACAATTCAAAATCAGAGACCACCCAGCAATTAATTATGATAATTTCTTGATAATGGGGATACACAAAGATATTGCTAACATTCCAAGGGAAATTATTCTGGAGATTTACAACCAAATTGGCGAAACAAGCAGGCATCAAGGGAGATGAGGATCACATGGATGGCCCTAATGATTTCTCATCTCCTTTCTATTTGACTGGTATTAAAAAAAAAAAAAAAAAGACTTCGCAAAATTTTAAGAGACGATCTTAATTAGTAACTAACAGGATGAGCAAGCATATAGATAAACTTAAGTTTAGTTCCCAGGAACTTTCACCAGACGATTGCTTCTGCGAATTATAGGCACAGGTGCCGCTGCTTTTGGGCCTGATGAAGTAGGCTCGAGGCTGGGTTCAAACTGTTAATTACTCTCAACTGTTATGTTTTCGCCGAAATACTTGATCACAATGTCAGGTATCTTGAAAGCCCCATGAAAGCTATAGCGACGTTTCACTTTCAAAGTTTTCAATCTAAAGAAGGGAGATGGTTGATTTTCTAACACTTGAGGACAGTCCATGAAACCCTATAGATTAGTAGTATTAGTCATGAGAGACATGTCATTATAATTCCACTGTATATAAAGAGAACGAAAACATATATAGGGTTGAGAGAAAAAGGAGAAAATGAATGAAAATATATATACCTTTACGATGTTGGAGTAAAGCAGCAGAGACTGTGCATTATAAAGCCCGCGAAACAGATTGATTAATTCCAAAAGGGATTCATCTTTGTTGAGAAATGGTAAACCAACAAAAATTTCAGCGATTTCCAAGAGTGGCAAGTCAAGATGGGAGAATTTCACTGGATCATGACTAGTACAACTAAAGAAACGGAGTTTTGGGGCAATAATCTCAACTTTACAATGATCAGAAGAGCCTGACAATGGCAGGGTCAAACTATCAAGTTGAGGTCCGCTAATTTTAAAATTCCCAACGCTACGACGTATTGAACTGCCAATTAGTTCCAAAGTCTTGAGATTGACAAGTCGTACAAAAGGGTCGATTGAAATAGGTTCACCATTAACCTTACCCCCGAATCTACACCAGTAGAGTGATAAAGTGGTCAAGTTGGGAAGAGTGAAATCCTCTAGTAGATGCATGTTATCAAAACCTTGCAACTCGAGAGTTTTCAAGGATACAGAGATATTGAAGAAAGGGGATAAGTATGTCAAAGATGCTGATTGTAGGTAAAGACTAAAATGTTGCACATTATAAGACATGGCATACTTGATTATGGTAGCGAACATCGAATCATCTTCTAATGTCCTATGGTACCCAAAAGAGAATTTGTTTAAAGGGAGATTCTTGCGCCTCCACATGACATGGCGCACAAATTGCTTGAACCACGAAAACGTAGTGTTTCTGCTTTCTAATTTGTCAAAGAAGAGATCTGGAAGAGAAGCCCACAAGTTGTTCCATCTTTTGGAGAGGACAGTGGTTCGAACACAAAACCTAATATCCGGTAGAAAGGAAAGGATATGAAGTAGAATGCAGTCGGACAGATCGCTCAATCGATCCTTCTCAACCACTCCTTCTTCTCCATGATTCTTCTTGGCCTTCTTAGTCTTTTGTATTCTTCCTGCCATGATCAACCAGTGCGGCGCAAAGACGAAGGAGAAATCAGAGGAACCGCCAGCCAAGAGGGTATTTGCCTATTTGGGTGAAAAAAAAAAAACTAAAAACCCTAATCTATTGGTGGGAGTCCAAAAAAAAAAAAAATAGTAGAAATCGTATGTTAAGCCCAATAAGACGTTACAAAGTTGGATATTGAGTTGAGTTTAACAAAAATACTGTGATTTCCTTTGTTTGTTTGCGTCCATATTAATGACACTAAGGTTTAGTTTGGTATTGAGGTTGCATTTTGAAAAAACTAAAAACTTGATTTGGAAAAAGTGCTTTTTTAAATTGCGGTAGAAAAATGTAAATAATATTTGGTATTGCTGTGAAAAAATGAGGTTGAAAGATAAAATGTCTAAAAAGGATATGCTAGTTAAAAGGAAGGAGAAAAATAATTAGGGATTTTAGTCATTTAATATCCAAAAGCACTTTTGAATCGCAAAAGCACCTAAGGATTAGCTTCTCGAGTTGACTTGGCTTTTGCGTTCAAAATTATCTTTTGACACAAACCATGATTTATTTGGTATTGCGTTTGGGTTCAAAAGCAGCTTTTTTTACCTCCAAACACAATACCAAATCAGGCCTAAAGTTGATCAAAT